TCTTCCTGCTTTAGTTTTGCTAAGTTCTATGTTTCTAGGAATCTATCCATTTCTTCTCAGTTGTCCAATTTGTTGGCATACAGGTTTTCATAATAATCTGTTAAAGTTGTGCAACAACTGGACAACACAACAAAAATCTGTTGTGTTGGTTGTTATTTCTTTCATTTGTGATTTTGAGTCCTCTGTCTCTTGCTCTCACTCTTGAGTCTGTCTAGAAGATTACCAGTTTTATTGGTCTTTTCAGAGCTAGTTCCTAGTTTCATCTATTTTTTTAGATTATATATCATTTATTTCTGCTCTAACTTTATTATTTCCTTCCTTGAGTTTGGTTTGGGTTTTGTTTCTTCTTTTTCTAGCTCCTTTTAGGTATAAACTTAGGTTGTGGGAGACTTTTCTTGCCCCTTGAGGCAGGCCTGTATTGCTCTAAACTTCCCTTTTAGAACCGCTTTTGCTGCATTCCAAAGATTTGGGGGCATTGTGGTTTTGTTTTCATACAATTTTATTTTTTTGGTTGACCCATTCATTGTTTAGTAGCATCTAACTTACATGTATTTGTGTCTTTCCAGCTTTTTTCTTGTGGTTGATTTCTAGTTTTGTAATGTTGTGGTCAGAAAAGATGCATGGTATGACTTCAATTTTTTAAAAAATTTATTCAGACTTGTTTTGTGACCTTGATTTGTGACTTGTGTCCCATTCTGGAGAATGCTCCATGTGCAGTTGAAAAGCATCTGTATTCATTCTGTTTTAGGATGCAGTGATCTTGGTATGTCTGTTAAATCCATCTGGTCCAGAGTATCATTCAAAGCCAGTGTTCCCTTACTGATTTTCTGTTTGGATGATCTGTCCATCAGTGTATGTGGGATGTTAACATCCCCTACTATTATTGTGTTAATATTATTTCCTTCATGTATTTATTTGACAGAGAGTACAAGTAGACAGAGTGGCAGGCAGAGGGAGAGGGAGAAGCAGGCTCCCCACTGAGCAGGGAGCCTGATGCGGGGCTCAATCCCAAGACCCTAGGACCATGACGTGAGCCAAAGGCAGCTGCTCAACTGACTGAGCCACCCAGGCACTCCCACCCCCAGCTCTCTTTTGACATCCATTTACATGATAAATCTTGTCCATCCCCTCATTTTCCAAATGCAGTTGTGTTTAGGTTTGAAATTAGTCCCTTGTAGGCAGCATTATGATGGGTCTTGTTTTTTATTTGCTTACCACCCTCTGCCTTTTGATTGGAGCATTTAGTCAGTTTACACTCAAAGTAATTATTGATGTGTATTTTTTTTTAAAGATTTTATTTATTTGACAGAGAGAGATCACAAGTGGGTGGAGAGGCAGGCAGAGAGAGAGAGAGAGTAGGAAGCAGGCTCCCTGCAGAGCAGAGAGCCCGATGTGGGACTCGATCCCAGGACCCTGAGATCACGACCTGAGCTGAAGGCAGAGGCTTAACCACTGAGCCACCCAGGTGCCCCATTATTGATGTGTATTTATTGCCATTTTGTTACTTGTTTTGAGGTTGTTTCTGTAGATTTTTCTCTAATCCTTTCCTCTTTTGCTCTTTCATGGTTTGTTGGCTTCCTTTAGTGATAACTTGTGTTCCTTTCTCTTTATTCTTTGCATATGTGTTACTGTGTGTGTGGTTACCATCAGGTTTCCACACATCTTCTGCGTAACATCTTCTGCGTAATAGCATCTGTATGAAGTTGATAGTTACTTAAGTATGAATATATTGTTTACTCCTCTGCCTGCTATGTTTTACACATATGGTGTCATATTTGGCATCCTTTCATGGATCCCTTGACTGGCTTTTACAGAAATACTTATTTTTACTGATTTTGTGTTTCCTCCCTTTGTACTATCACTTTCAGTCTGGCCTTTCCAAACAGTTCCCTTTAGTATTTCTTGCAGGGCTAGTTTAGTGGTCAGGAAGGCCTTTCATTTTTGTCTGTGAAACTCTCTCTCCCTCTATTCTGAATGATGTACTTGCTGAACAGAGTATTCTTGGCGGCAGACTTCTTTCCTGTCAGCATTTTCAGTATATCATGCCACTCCCTTCTGAGCTGCCAAGTGACTACTGGAAACTGTACTGATAGCTTTTTGGAGTTTCCCTTGTAGGTGATTTTTTCCTGCTTTGAAATTTTTTTTATCACTATATTTTTGCCACATTAATTGCTGTGTGTCTTGGTGTGCACCTTCTTCTGTGCATTTGTTGGGGGCTCTCTGTGCCTCGTAGATTTGTTTTCCTTTCCCAGATGAGGGAAGTTTTCAGCTATTATTCAAATAAATTTTCTGTCCCCTTCTCTAACATCCCCATAATACAGATGGTACCACACTTGATTGAGTCAATCAGGCATATTATATTCATTTCACTTAGATTTGTTGCTATGATTTGGTCCTATTCTTTCATTTGGGACATATTTCTGTGTCTCCTCTTTTTGTTGTGCATGTGTGAGGAAAGCCAGCCACTTCTCTCACTCTTAGCGATAGCAGCCTTCTGAAGAACAGGGCCAGTAATGCAGTGCTGTGTCCCCTGTTCCCTGGGGCCTGGCACTTCAGAGTGTCTCCTGTGTGTGCTGTGCTTGTTCTGCGGTTGAGTCCTGGGCACCACCTTCCTCAGATCCGGTTGTCTGCGAGGTTCTTCTTGCCTGCTGTGTGCACGGTCTGGTTCCCAGCAGGGGAGAGGCGCATTTTAACAAGTTACACAGTCGTATGGTTGTGAAACGTGCCCTGTGCCGAGGGTCGAGGTCAAGGGTTGTGTTGGCAGAGTTTGCACTGGTCTTCAGGGGGAGGAGGGCCTTTTTCCCCTACTTTTTCTTTTTTTAGTCTCTTTCATTTATTTCTGCTCTGATCATTATACTTTCTTTTCCTCTACGCCCCTGGAACCTTACTTGAGCCTTTTTTTTTCTTTTGAATTAGGCTTGTAGCGCTATATACGTCCCTCTTAGAACTGCTTTCTCTGTATCCTAAAGATCTTGCACTATTGTTTTCATTTTCATTTGCCTCCATGTATTTTTTCTTTTCTTCTTGGCTTGCTTCCTTGAACCATGGGTAGGTTGTCCAGTCTCCCTATGCTTGTTTTTTTTTTTTTTTTTCCAGTCCTTCTTTGATGGGATTTGTCTCATACCATTATGATCAGAAAAGATACATGCTAGGAGTGAAGTCTCCTTAAATTTATTGAGGCTTGTTTTGGGGCCTGATTTATGTTCTAGTCTAGGGAACATTCCATGTGCACTTGAAAAGGATGTATACTCTGTTTTGGGATGGGATGATCTGAATATATGTTCTGTCCATCTGGTCTAATGTTTCCTTCAAAGACTATTTTCCTTATTGATTTTCTGCCTCCATCTATCTATTGATGGAAACGGGAGTTTCAAAGACCCCCTATTACTGCTGTATTACCATCAGTTTCTCTCTTTAGGTCTGTAAATCCTTGCTTTATGTTTTTAGGTGCTCCAGTATTGGGTGCATAAATATTAACAATTGTTATATCCACTTGTTATTATAGTAATGTCCTTCCTTGCCTCTAAAACAATCTTTGTTTTAATAAAGTTTATTTTTTTCTGGTGCCGATACTCTGGAAAACAGTAGGGAGGTTCCCCAAAAAGTTAAAAATAAATACCCTACCTACTAGGTATTTACCCAAAGAAAGCAAAAACCAGTAGCTCAAAGGGATACAGACAGTCCGATATTTATAGCAGCATTATCTACAGTGGCCAAAATATTGGAACAGCCCAAGTGTCCACTGACTGATTAATGGATAAAGAAGGGGTGTGTGTGTGTGTGTGTGTAATGAATTATTACCCAGCCATTAAAAAAAAAAAAAGATTGAAATCTTGCCTTTGCAATGACATGATGGAATTAGAGAGTATAATGCTAAGTGAGATAAGTCACAGAGAAAGACAAATACCGGATGATTTCGCTCAGGCGGAATTTACAGAGCAAAACAAAGGAGGGACTAGGGGGAGAGAAACAGAGAAGAAACTAGGTTATCAGAATGGAGGCGGGTGAGGTGATGGGGATGAAGAAGTAATTGCACTGCTTGTGAGGAGCACCACGGGTTGGATGGCAGTGTTGGATCATTGGATTATACAGCTGAAACTTACACTGTATGTTAAATAACTGGAATTCAAATAAAAACAGTATTTTTGATATAAATATTAAATGTATAATAATCTATAATCCTGTTTGGGTATGTGCTTTAAAACTTTCTGAGGTGTTTAACAAACTCCAAGATTTGAAATGGCACATAAAGTCTTTTTGACTAATCAGGCTTGTTTATTTGGTATTTTCAGTTACTTGGAAAGCACTGTCAAACCAACAGTGATGAGCATTAGGTTGTATTATATGGATAAATGCTATAACTAGCCTAGAAAATATATGAAGTTCCTTGTTTTACTATGTCCTAGTATAAGGCCACTACATAAATGATTGACATGTCACAGAAATAACCAGATTTCCTTGTCAGTTGCATTATAGTGAACTTTCAGATCTTTAACCATGTCCATTTGAGGGTTGGTTTTTTGGGGTGGTTTTGGTTTTTTGTCATTTATAGTTTTAAGATTTAGTCTAGAGCAGGGGGAGGGGCAAAGAGAATCCTCAAGCAGATTCCCTGCTGAGCTCAGAGCCTGATGTGGGGCTCAATTGTAGGGACCTGAGCCAAAATCAAGAGCCAGCCACCCCTCATTTGATGCTCTTGCAAAATGTGTTTCTTCTTCAAAGAGATTCATAAAGGGAACTTTTGACAAATAATGGTTTTTGGTATATTCAAAATAAAAACTGAGCTAAGTAAGAATTTCCAGAAATAATGGAAAAGCCACATTCAAACAAAAACTAATATAGGACTGAATGAATTGAGGAAAATGATAAAATATCCTTTGTGAACAAATTGAAACATTTTTTCCCCCACCTCAACCCTCCACAGTCTAGAAACTGAGTATTCTTCCTTCTATGGCAATTACAGTTACTTGTGTAAGTTAAATAAAAATCTGTTCTCCTAACAGGACACCGTTTGGAAGATTGGTTACATTACCAAGGCTTTGACTGGAATGTCTTACTTGAGAGAGAAATGCATCACCTCAGATATGACCAGACCGCTTTAAGGAATTAAGGTTGACCTTACAGAGCCAAGGGAGCCTCTTGGAACTGTCGGCCTGATTCCTTGCTTACAGAGATCCCAGCGACCTTACCAGGTGAGTAAGGAATGTCCCTTCCTGGAGGGTGCAAGAATCACAGCATATTTTGGGCATCTGAAGAAGAGAAATTCACTCAAATCAACAGGAATTGCAGGCAGGTCTGATGATGAGAATTTGGCTTGTCTCTGGCCTTGAGTTCAATCTAGAGATTCCTTTAAATTCTGCTTTACTTGGAACTTTTTATAAGGACCTATAATGATCAGTCACTGTTCTTGATGAGCTTATGTGAATAATTGGGCCAAGTTAGTTAAAACTGGGCTTGTTTTAACACTAATTAGTTTTGATTTGGCTATTTCTGGAAATAAGAGTGAATTTAGAAAAACCGTTCCAGTACGGTATCCTTATGGATGTTGAAGTCTAGTTTCAACTTTCAATGTTGTCATTTGCCTAAGCTAGACAACTCGAGGTAAACTTCAGAGAGATTGCTCTAAGAGCTCCCGTGTAAACAGTTTCCCTGATTGTTACTCTGTGGGGATAATAAAAAGGACCCTGTGGGCCTATGATGATTCAGACAGCAGGATGAGGGGATGGACTCCCCAGCAATTGTGTGACTCTCCTATCACCTTGAGCACTTCTCTGTGGCTGGCATGACAAAATTGCTCCTTAAAAATCAGAGCATTAGGGGCGCCTGGGTGGCTCGGTGGGTTAAAGCCTCTGCCTTCAGCTCAGGTCATGATTCCAGGGTCCTGGGGTCAAGCCCCGCATCGGGCTCTCTGCTCAGTGGGGAGCCTGATTCCACCTCTCTCTCTCTGCCTGCCTCTCGGCCTACTTGTGGTCTCTGTCCGTCAAATGGATAAGTAGAGTCTTAAAAAAAAAAAAAAAAATCAGAGCGTTAGGGCGCCTGGGTGGCTCAGTGGGTTAAGTCGCTGCCTTCGGCTCAGGTCATGATCTCAGGGTCCTGGGATCGAGTCCCGCATCAGGCTCTCTGCTCAGCAGGGAGCCTGCTTCCCTCTCTCTCTCTCTCTCTCTCTCTTTCTCTGGCTGCCTCTCTGTCTACTTGTGATCTCTCTCTGTCAAATAAATAAATAAAATCTTTAAAAAAAAAAAAATCAGAGCGTTACCCCACTCCATGGGGCTAAGTATGAAATAGTGGAGGTAAGAGATGGCCTCACCTTGCTTCATGATTGGAGAATGCACTTAGGGATGCCCTTCTCTCTAGAGACCAGTCCTCTCCCACTTGCCCACAATTCCTCATTCCTAGGATATTGTAAAGGCTAGGCAAGGCAAAGAGCGCTTCTTGATGGTTTTATCCTTCACCCACATTTGCCCCAGGAGGTACCTCTGTCAATGTCACATTGTAAGTAGGGGCTTTAGCCAAGCAGACAGGGGCCACTTTTAACCAAACGCAACACGAAGCCACCCACAGATTTGAAAAGTGGGCCTCCAAAACCTAACGGCCATTGATACCCTGCCAAAGAGGAAATTATTAATGCTAATACTGAGACTAAATGACGTGCATATGTCCCAGACAACTCTCCCTGTGTATCCAAAGTTTTAGCAGATGTGCATACCATACCTAAACTTTTTTTCTTTTTTTTTTTTTACAATGGGCACATTATGCTGAGCTACACAACCAATCTTCTTACCGGATTTGTGGTTTACTGCCCCTACCAAGCACTCCAGGGCACCCTTAGTGGTCTGCTCCATTACACGGTACAGATGAGCATTATTTGTATCAGTACATAGCCCATGTGATGCATCACCTCAGTACCAGCACACACAGGGATATTTCCATTACTAAGAATGTGTTTCTTGCCAGCCTATGAAAAATATTACATGGAACTCTCCAGGCCATAAGAGACCTTCCTCTTACCTTCAGATAATATGCCAATCCAGGGATGGGCTCCCAGCACTGACAGACAAGACCCATGTTCCATTGGGTCTGGACATCTGACCTCTATTTTTCTTCCATCAGGCTTAGAAAATGGCATATGGCCCGTGGAAGCCCTTGATCAGTGCACACTGAAGGCCTTAAATGATTCTCAAAATAGCATTACAGTATTAAACACTGAAATGACCCACATGCATAAAGCAGTTCTACAAAGTAGAATGGCATTAGAGGTCTTAAAAGCAGCATAAAGAGGAATATATGCCATTACTAAGGCAGAATTCTTTCAGATACTAACAGAAATAGAACAGGGTTACTTACTGATGTGAGTAATCAAACTGGTGCTCTTTGTGACTGGTTACACTCCTGGTCAGGAGGTGAGCTACAGCCCACAATAAAGGGTCATCACATTGCTCTTCTTCTTTTCGTTATGATAATCCCAGTGTGTTCTCTTCACTTTGTTCTCTCCTGTTGTCCAGAAACGTGGAAGCAGTTCCTGACTCCTTCACCGAGCCAGAACATGATCCTTAGTACTCAGAACAAGTCCACCCCCACGCGCCATCTGGACTCTGCAGCAGTGGCCCTCCGTAGGGATGATTTTCGTCCCATAGGTAGGGATAGCTCTACAACCCCATTCACATGAAGTTACAGAAGATGAGCCCTCCCTCCTTCAGCAGCCTTAAAGATCTGAGGACCAAAAAATAGCCAGATGGGAAATGAGGGATAGAAGAAAAAAAAAAAAAAAAAAACTCATCTTTAACCCAGAACACCCAGCATGGAGCCCAGTGCAGGGCTCAAACTCACAACCCTGAGTGAGATCAAGACCTGGATGTTCAACCAGCTTAGCCACGCAGGCACCTCAGCTGGCTGCTGTGTTCTTGAATGGTCTCATGCCTGCCTGTATGTCTCACTGGGAGTTAGTATTTGAGCTGAATGACAAACTACCAAGATTTCTCTCTTGCTTTTCAAATACAATTTGAAGAAGGGCAACTGCCTTCAGCGTGGGTCATGATTCCAGGGTCCTGGGGTTGAGGCCCACATCAGGCTCCCTGCGAGGATCCTGCTTCTCCCTCTCCTTCTACCCATCCCCCTGCTTGTGCTGTCAAATAAAATCTTTTTTTTTTTTTTAAAGATTTTTTATTTATTTGACAGAGATCACAGGTAGGCAGAGAGAGAGAGAGGAGGAAGCAGGCTCCCCGCTGAGCAGAGAGCCTGATGCGGGGCTCGATCCCAGGACCCTGGGATCATGACCTGAGCCGAAGGCAGAGGCTTTAACCCACTGAGCCACCCAGGTGCCCCTCAGATTTTTTTTTTTAAAAGATTTTATTTGAGGGGTGCCTGGGTGGCTCAGTGGGTTAAAGCCTCTGCCTTCGGCTCAGGTCATGATCCCAGAGTCCTGGGATGGAGCCCCGCATAGGGCTCTCTGCTCAGCGGGGAGCCTGCTTCCTCCTCTCTCTCTCTGCCTGCCTCCCTGCCTACTTGTGGTCTCTGTCTGTCAAATAAATAAAATCTTTAAAAAAATTTTTTTTTTTAATAAGACATTTATGATCTAAGACTCCCTCCCCTGAGCCCCATAGGCTTCCCACTGCATGCATTTCTTATATCTCTGTTTTTATCAAGGTACCTGTCCTAGTGGATTTGAACCCCACCCTCATGATCTCATGTAACATTAGGGACTAAGTAAGTAAATGTGGGACTGACAGTTAAGGACTGCGTTCTCTCACCCCCACGTTTACACAGAGCTGTCCCAACTCCCAGTGTGACTACATTTGGAAAGTATTACATCTCTTAAGTCCCTAATGTTACATGAGATCATGAGGGTGGGGTTTTAATCCACTAGGACTGGTATCTTGATAAGAACAGAGGTGCAAATCAAAACCACAATGAGATCCCACCTCAAACACCAGTCAGAACAGCTACAGTCAGGAAAGAGGAACCCTCCTACACTATTGGTGGGAATGCAAGCTGGTGCAACCGCTCTGCAAAACAGTGTGGAGGTTCCTCAAGATGTTAAAAATAGAGCTACCATACAACCCAGCAATCGCACTACTGGGTATTTACCCCAAAGATACAAATGTGATCTGAAGGGGCACATGCACCCCACTGTTTATAGCAATATCCATAATAGCCAAACTATGGAAAGACCTTAGATGTCTGGCAACATTAATATATAATGATTTTATATATATGTGTGTGTGTGTCTACACATACACACACCACACACACACACACACACACACACACACACAATGGAATATTACTCAGCCATCAAAAAAGTGCAACAGTGGGTGCCTGGGTGGCTCAGTGGGTTAAAGCCTCTGCCTTCAGCTCAGGTCATGATCCCAGGGTCCTGGGATTGAGTCCCGCATTGGGTTCTCTGTTCGGCGGGGACCCTGCTTCCTCCTCTCTGCCTGATTCTCTGCCTACTTGTGATCTCTGTCAAATAAATAATCTTTAAAAAAAAAAAGTGCAACAGTGTGGATGGAACTAGAAGGTATAATGCTAAGTGAAATAAGTCAGCGAAAGACAATTATATCTCACAGATATGTGGAATTTGAGAAAAAAGGCAGACGATTTTAGGGGAAGAGAGGGAAAAAAATGAAGAAATCAGAAAGGGAGACAAACCGTAAGAAACTCTTAACCTCAGGAAACTAAGGGCTACTGGGAGTGGTAGGGATAAGGTGGCTGGATGATGGACATTGGGGAGGGTATGTGCTATGGTGAATGTTGTGAATTGTGTAAGACAATGGCATATGGCCATTGTCTTACACAATGAATCACATAAATGTACCCTGAAACAAATAATACATTATATGTTAATTTAAAAAAAAATGTCATCCAGTCAAGGGTGCCTAGGTGGCTCAGTGGGTTAAGCACCTCCCTTCAGCTCAGGTCATGATCCCAGGGCTCCTTGCTCAGGAGGGCAGCTGCTTCTCCCTCTCCCTCCTGTTTCCTCTGCTTGTGTGTGTGTGCATTTGCTCATTCTCTCTCTCTCTCTCTCTCTCAAAAAATAGCCAGTCAATGCATCAAGCTTCCCAGCTTTAAATATTGTTAACGATGACCCAGTTTCCAAAAGCAGGTCAGACTGCTTAATGGCCAAGGGTCTGTGCCATCAGCATCAGGCCCAAATCTCTGGCCTTATTACACTGTGTATGCACAAGCCAGTCCACCCCACACTTGGTCTCTTTCTGACCCTTTCGTTCTGGAGTCTGCTCCCTCTGCCTCTCCCCGCATTTGTTCTCTCAATCTCTTGCTCTCTCAAATAACATCTTTAATTATAGTTGACATACAGTAATAGTTGTAGGCATGCAAAATAGTGATTCAACATTTATATACATTACCAAATAATGCTTACCAGATATGTGTAGTTACCATTTGCCACCAAAAGTGACTACAATATTGGCTATATTCTGTATACTGTCATTTTCACCCCATGACTTAACACGTAATTGGAAGTTTGTACCTCTTAATCCCCTCTGTATTCCACCAGCACCATCCCCCTGAACTCCTTGCCTTCTGGCAACTGCAAGATTTTTCATTGCAATAAGAGCTTTATCTTGTTTTTTGTTTTTTGGGGTTTTTTTTTTTTTTTTTGATTCCACATATAGGTGGAATAATGGGGTTTGTCTTTTTCTGTCAGACTTACTTCACCACATACGATATTGTCTAGGTCTATCCAAGTGGTTACAAATAATAAAATCTCAGTCATTATGGATGAGTAATATTTCATTGTATATACAGAACCACTTTATCCGTTTGTCTATCAAGTAACACTTAAGTTGTTTCCATATTGTAGGTGCTTATGGGGGCCCAGGAAACTAGTGTAAGTAACTGTTAGGGCCCAGGAGACTGTACCCTAAGCCATTGTCAGGGGCCTAAGAGACAAAATTACATTAGGCGAGGGAAGGGACTATACCTTGTTAGGCAATTGTTGTGGGCCCAGGAAGCTGCATCTTAGGCAATTATCAGGCCCAAAGAGACAGTTTTGGTAATTTCCTCCAAACAAGTGCTGTACGAATTAATGTGGGGGCAAGGACACTGTAGCTGGAGGGGATTTTGTATAGTCACAAGGCACTGGCTTCGGTAAATGTGGGGGGCAGGTGAAACTGCTGTGAGTGACTGGGGAAAAAAATCTTGTTTATGGAGGGCCAGGAAATTCTCTAGTAAATATTTGGAATAAAGGTCTTGAACTTAGGGGATTATGGGGGCACAGAAAGCAATCAGGTGATTTTGAGGAACCAGTAACACTATCTTACGTGTTTGTTGGCCCTAGTAACTCTACATGATTGGGGTGCCCAAGAAAATACCTTATGTGAACTGGCAGGGGCGGGGGTGGCATTCTACCTGATGTGTTTGTAGACCCCCAGAAAACTCTACCCTAGGTGATGAAAGGTCCCAAGGACCATCCAGGCTAGTTCATTGTGGAAGCCAGAAATAGGGGACTGATTTTGTGGGACCTAAGCAGTTGTTCTCCCTTAGGTATGCTGGGTTCCAAGAAGCATTACCCTAGCAAGTCTAGTCCCACAAATTCTGTATAAACGATTGTGGGGGCCCAGGAGGCTACAGTTTTAGGTGATTTTATGGAGTCAAGACCTCCCAGAGTCAAGAGCTCCCAGAACTCCCTCAGGTACAGTTTCTTGAGCCCTCCATAATCAACAACGAGAAAGTATCCTGGGCCCCCTAGACTACCCAAGGCAGAATTTCCTGGGACCCCAAATCGCTGGGGAATGTATTCTGGCCCATACACACAATGAACTAAGGTGTAGTTTCCACAATACCACAATCCCCTCAGAATTCCTGGCAACCCATAAGCCCCTAAGAAATAGTTTTCTGGTCTCCCCAAATTGTCGTAGGTACAAATTCCTGACTACGGTCCCCTAGAATTTCTAGGTCCCTCAGTATTTTTTTTAAAGATTTTATTTATTCATCTGACAGAAATCACAAGTAGGCAGAGAGGCAGGCAGCAAGAGACAAAGGGAAGCAGGCTTCCTGCAGAGCAGAGAGCCTAATGCAGGGCTCAATCCCAGGACCCTGAGATCATGACCTGAGCCAAAGGCAGAGGTTTTAACCCACTGAGCCACTCAGGTGACCCGATCCCTCAGTATTTTCAAATGTAGAAGTTCAAGTGGACTCTAGATAATAAATCTTAGTACCCTGTCTCATTCAGAGACATGAGGTAGGTTTCCAGGCTCACAGTGTTATAGGGTACATGATACTAGCCCCACACAGTCATCTCAAATGTACTAGCCTGGCCCCTCACAGGAGCTGATTCAGTTAGATTATTGTGGCTCCCACAATCACCTAAGGTACAGCTTCCTGTGCCCCACACTCAAGCTAGTTTTTTGGGCCCCACATTCACCTACGGAAGATTCCGGGAACCACACAATCACAGAAGGGTCTCTATTAATGGTCCCCATCATCACCTGAGGTAGAGTTTCTTGGCTCCAAAGGAACTCTGTTTCCTGGGCATCCAAAATCACCTAAGGTAAGTTCCCAGGAACACCAAATCAATCTCTGGAGTGTTCCCAGCCTTCCGTCACCTCAGCTAGACTTTATGGGCCCCCTTGCAATCACTGAAGCTGTATTTTCCTGGCCCCCACCCACAGTCACTAAAGCCAGAGTTTAAATCACCTAAGGTTGCAGTTATCTACCCCCCAAAATCATCTAAGCTGTAGTTTCTTGGGCTCCCAGGACACCTAATGTAGAGATTCATGAGCACA